CGCTGCCTATCCTCCGCCAACGTTTTATCTCATTCTTTAATACATTATTTGTCCTCCTCCTCCTTCATGTCTTTCTCGTTTTCTCTCTTTTTGCACTTCGACGCTCCTATCTCTATCCTTGTATTGCGAAGCATCCTTCTAAAGTCTATATACTCACCCTGCGCTTTTTCTTGGTTTTCTCTTACGTCAATCTCCTCCTACTCTCCTAACTATACTCATCCGCCTTCCCTTACAGTTCACTCCTATCGCATCTTTTCATTTTCTCCATGCCTCTCTTAGTCTAATCTTCTTCTGTACCCTCTTCTCTGGCTCCTCTTCCTATTCTCTCTCTCATGTCCTCCTCCTTCTCCCTTCTCTAACGCGTCCTAATCCTGCACCATTCTCCCAGTTGCTTGGCCTTCATAATCGACTACTCCTCCTCCTCCTACCCTTCTCTTTTCTCCCAACAAATACATACTATCTTACTGTGTGCATCCTCTTCCTCTTCAGCTTCAAAGTACCTACATATCCCTCCCTCTCTAAACTTTGGCATTTTATCTTCCCCAATCGTGCCACAGTAATTGTAATGTTAACGTTTGGGCGAACCGACCGTTCTCGTCAACACTTTGCTCAGTCCATAATTTAAATTGTTCCGACAAGCAGCCTTTCATGCTAAGTCATCTAAGTTCTCTCCCAGGCATGCACGAAGAAACCGGCGTATCCGATCGATCATGGTTTATCTCTCTATCATTAAACTATTATCATTCTAAGCTTCCGTTGCGTGTACTCATACCCAGGAATAATCGTCTCTCCAACTGCGCAACCGTGTGGAATTGGGGTATATTTGGTTGGTGTGTGGGCGGCGGTCGGTATAAAATGGTTGGGGCTGGGGCGTGGGGTGGAGGGGGTGGAGGGCCGATGGGTTGTGTGAGCTGGCTTGGGCGACGCGGGCAGGTTGGAGGGTGGATTTTTTTGCTGTGATAGGTATCTAGGAAGGTCCTTAGTGAGGTGGTGATTTCTTTAGGTGGGGTTGGGTGAAGAGGGGAGGGCGGGGTGGTACTGGGGTGGGTGTTGGGGGGAAGGCGGTGCGGGTGGAAAGGTGCGCTGTGTGACTTGTGGGAAATCTTTGTAATGCTTGCTTCCGGGATTTGTGGCTCTTTAGTATGAGGGTAAAAATTTTTGCTTTAGAGACCCGAATTGGATTAGGATTTTTTTTTTTTTTTCAACATAATGTTATTAATGCATGGTTGTTCAGTTCATTTATACTTTTTAATGTTTCACGTTTTCACTTTAGAGAAACATCTCTCGAAGTTGATTTAGGATTTTTAGTTTCTTTTTTTTTTTCTTTACTATTATTATTTACTCATTTATTAATTTATTTAGATACTTTATCTTTTAAGCTCTTGGTGTCTACTGATTTCAAGTTCTCATATATTCTATATTCATTTTTGAACTTTTTAAATTGAAAATAGCCTATCCATAATCTCTAACGTGTGTGTATAAAATGCCCTGACATAGTTCAATGAATCTGTGTAACGATATATTAGAGTAGTCTATTACATTATAGACCACTACCTACCCCTGTAGTATAGTTATTTTATTTTGGGTTATACATTGTTTATTATGCTCTACTCTCTCCCTGTTTTACTCTCACTCTCTTTTTTATATCGTGAGCCTTGGTAATCTATGGCCTGAGTGATCTTGCATATGGTACATATTAGAAGAAACATTCGGTATTTGTTATTTAATTAACTATTATCATCTTTTTATTAAATCATCATTAATTTTTTTAATGTAATCAATTAGTCAAGTATCAAATTATCATTATATTTTATTTTCATTTTATTTACTATTGTTATCATATACAATCAGTCATCCCTTATACCCGTAAGCTATGTAGTAATATCATTAACTTCTTTATTAATATACTCTTAATCATGTATCGTCACCATGCATCATCCATAAACCATTTTGCGCAGTTACATTATTGTTACGTACTATTCCCATCATTCCTCTACTCCATCTGTCCATCTATTTATTTCACTCATTAGCTCTTTACTCAACGTGACCATCACTATTGGCAGGTCATTCAATCCATTACACTTATCTAAACAATTACTTTCTATCTTTGGGATTTAAACCATTTCGCTACCAATCTACCATTCTTATCTTAATGACTATTTATTATTCTCTGGCCTACAACCTTCTTGTGACCGCATTCCAATCATCTACCTACCCTTCCCCACCCTTCCCTTTCCACCACTCTCCCCTTTTCCTTATTACCATACCCTACCACTCCCCGCATCATCCCAGACCCCAACCGCCTAACACTCCTTCAGCCTCAGCTCAACATTATTTACCGAGCCCTCATAATTGGGATAATCCTTACTCCATCATCACAAGTGCTCTCATCGTCCTATCAGCAATCAAGACTGAATTGATGCAGATTTTGGACCTTATATGTCTCTGGTTGCTTGGCAAAGCCGTTGTGCGTGAATTTCCATGTTCAATGTCTTCGCTTCTGTTTCACAATTTAGGCTTTTTATTTTCAGTTTCTTTGGGGATAAGTGGCTGTTTGTTCTTTCATTATTATGTAATTTTTCTATTTATAGTTGAGGTCGTCTTCCGCTTCTCGTTTCACCAATAGTCTTTAATACTTTTTATTATCTTTTTTTGGGGGAGATAACGCGCGCTGGTTTTTTTGCATCTATTATTATTTCATTATTATGATCGTCTTCGCCTCTTGCCTTCCCAATTGTGAGCCCTTTTATCTCTCATTGCTTTTATCTGCCGGGGATAAACAGTTTGGCTCGTGCTTTTTTTTTCCATCTTAATTATTATTCTCTTTATTATTATTTTTGAAGTTCCTTCGCGTATCGTTCACAATTAGTTTTTTTTTTTTTGGGGCTGGGAAGTTGGGAGACTGGCAAGTTGGTCTGTTTCTCTTTTAGTTTATTATTATTAATTCATGTATATATAATTTGAGTGTCTTTCGCTTGGACGTTTTTTCACATTTACTTATATTTAACTCTCTGTGGGGATAGATTGAGTCCGGCTGCTTTTTTTTTACTAATACTATTTGGATTTATTTTTCGGTCGAGTGGTCATGTGATGTCTTTCTTTGCTTCTAGTTCACATTAGCTTCTGTTTGGGCGGGCAGATGGCGAGTAAAGTGGCTCGTTTTTTTCATTATTATTTATGTTCATTATTATTTGATGTCTTCGCTTCTGTTCACAATTAGCTTTTTTTTTTTTATTTTTGGGGATAAAGTGGCTGTTTTTTCCCATTATTATTATTTCATTATTATTGATGTCTTCGCTTCTGTTCACAATTAGCTTTTTTTTTCATTTTTGGGGATAAAGTGGCTGTTTTTTTTTCATTATCATTATTCATTATTATTGATGTCTTCTCTTCTGTTCACAATTAGCTTTTTTTTTTGGTGGGGGGGATAAAGTGGCTGTTTTTTTCATTATGATTATTTCATTAATTATTGATGTCTTTTTTTCTTTTCATCATTAAGCTTTTTTTGTTCATTTTTTGGGGGATAAAGTGGCTGTTTTTTTTTTCATTATTATTATTATTATATATTGATGTTCTCTTCTTCACAATTAGCTTTTTTTTTTGGGGGGGGATAATAAAGTGGGCTGTTTTTTTCATTAATATTATTTCATTATTATTGATGTCTTCGCTTCTGTTCACAATTAGCTTTTTTTCATTTTTTGGGGGGATAAAGTGGCTGTTTTTTTCATTATTATTATTTCATTATTATTGATGTCTTCGCTTCTGTTCACAATTAGCTTTTTTTTTTTTTAATTTTTGGGGATAAAGTGGCTGTTTATTTTTTCATTATTATTATTTCATTATTATTGATGTCTTCGCTTCTGTTCACAATTAGCTTTTTTTAATTTTTGGGGATAAAGTGGCTGTGTTTTTTCCCATTATTATTGTCGTTGGGTTTGTAATTTTGTTTTGGTGGGTATGTTATTTCGTATGTTTTTTTTTTTTTTTTTTTTTCTTTTTCTTTTGTGTGTGTTTATAGGTGCGTGTGTTTTGTTTAATTACATGATTGGATGCAAGGTATGCTGTTTCATTTGTTTGTTATGTCATTTCCTTATTTAGGCGTGCGTGCATTCCGCTTAATTGCAGAATCCTCTTTTTCATTCGTTATCGGAATGCTATTGCGAATTTCTCCTATTCTCTTTTCTTATTCCGGAATCATTAGAGAGGGAGAGAAATAAAAAGAAATACAGTAATAAGACAACAAAATACAATAACAAAAATAGACAAAAAGAAACGAAGGAAAGGAAAAAGAGTGAAGGAAAAGGAGAAAAAAGAAGATAGTTTACAACTGGATATGATGTCAATGAGAAAACGATGTTCCGATATGACCTCGGTTTCAGTTCCGATACAGATTTTGTATCGACTTTATCGGCGATGTCTGCAAGCTTCCGCAAAGGTCAAGGACGGAAGCCAAAGAAGGAATCCGAATTATTTTCTAATTTGCGATCGATTAGGCGATGTGTTCGTTGATACGCCCGAAATGGCACGGACGTTTGGCTGGCATGCACGTATACGAACACATAGAGGCAAGTTTGTACAAGAACTACAGATACTATTGTACAATATATGAAGGCGCGCTTGTATAACACAAGAAGTAAGAATGTCCAAGAGGCGCTATTGTACAGAATACGCAGGCGCGCTTGCACACACATTTAAACTTTGTACAGTACATATGAACGATATTATATATAATATATATATATATTATATATATATATATATAATATATATAATATATATATAATATATATATATACAGCTAACACGCACGAAATGGGACACATAATCACGGAAGCATGAATATACAGGCATACACGCACTAGTGCTTATATAAACGCAGGCATTCAGACAAAACGTATAGGTGCACGCACACGCATATGACGGACACACAACGCGCGCACTCTCTCTTACTCTCTCTCTCTCTCTCTCACACCACACACACACACACACACACACACACACACACACACACACACAACAACACACACACACACACACACACCACACACACGTACCTACATTCACATAAACACAGAAAAAAAAATATATAATGTAATATAATATATATATATATATATTATATATATATTATGTATATATAATATATATTATTATATAATATTATATATATATATATATATATATATATATATATATATATATATATATATATATATACACACACACACACACATCTCTCTACAAATGACTAAACCCACAGAAAATTTACACATGTCATGGGTCACTCCCATACGTATACTTTACACACGTGACCTTACCATGAAAAAAAGAACGAAAAAAAGATAAATAAATAAAGAAAAAGGTCGGGTGCTCACGTCACGTCCTTGCAACAACCGCATAATGCTACGATTGCAAATTTCGTGGGAACTCGCGGCCAGAGGAGTACAAGAGATGGGGTGGGGGGGGGAGGTGCGAGGGTGCTGGGAGTGGGCACAGAGTACCACACAACCGTTATGTCCAGCGAAGGGTGGTCTGTACCGGGCTGTTACTATAGCTGTTAGGCGAGAAGTACCGGTTTATTTTTTTTGTACTTTTTTTAAAGGAGGGGGGGGGGGGATAACGATTAATGTCCATAATTTAAGAAATGGGGAAGTGGGAGAAGAGGGAGGAAGGGGAGAGGGGGGACGGGGAGAGGGAGAAAGGGGGAGGGGAGGGGTGGGAGGAAAGAAGGAGGGGGGAGGGGTTGAAGGAAGCCGAGAGGGGCAGGGGGAGAAAGAGGACAAGGGGAGGGGAAGAGGAGAGGAGAGGAGAGGGGAGGGGGGGGTGTAAGAACGTGAAACACTCGCGTCTCGAGTTTTCAGGTAATTACCCAAACTGGTATTAAGGTAACTGCCCGCGAATGGTACTTGCAGACTAAGGAGGGTAATCCATGAATATTCTAATTGCGTAAATATGTGAAGAAAAGGTAATTCTATGATCCGTGTTTCCGCGTTCCTAGCTCCTACAGGATGCGTACGAGTGGGTGAGTGTTTGTGCGTAGAAATGGTGTAGAAAATACGTCGATTGATGATGATACAAAATGTCAATTGATGATGATACAAAATTCATTTGAGGATTGATACAAAATGTCAATGATGATAGATACAAAATGTCAATGAGATGGATACAAATGTCAATTGATGAATGATACAAAATGTCATTTGATGATACAAAATTAGTCAATGATGATGATACAAAATGTCAATTGAATGGATGATACAAAATTGTCAATTGATGATGATACAAAATGTCAATTGATACAAAAATACAAAAATGTCATTGATGATGATACAAAATAGTCAATTGATGTCAATACAAATGAGTGATACAAAATGTCAATTGATGATGATACAAGGTCAATGAATGTAGAACAATGTCAGATTGAATGATGAACAAAATGTCAATTGATGATGTAGAAAATAAGTCAATTGATGATGATACAAAATGTCAATTGATGATACAAAATGTCAAGTTGATTACAAAATGTCAATTGATGATGATACAAATTGTCAAAGATATGATACAAATGTACCAATTGATGATGATATCAAGAATGTCAACATGGGAATGATGATACCAAATGTCAATGATAGATGATACAAAATGTCAATGATGATGATTTACAAACTAATGTCAATTTGTTGATGATAAACGAAGAAAGACTGAAAATGTCGCGAATGTTTGATGATTTGGATACAAAAGATGTCATTGATGATGATACGAAATGTCAATTGAGAGGGACATGATACAAGGATAGTCATGAGAATAGAGATACAAGGACGGATGGCAAATTGATGATGATACAAAATGTCAATTGAAGAATGATACGAGAGGAGTGTTTTTCAATTGATGAAACTGATACAAAATGTCAATATGAACACGATTGATTACGAAAATTGTCATTGATGATGCATACAAATGTAAGTTGATGATTGCATACAAAACTATGTCAATTGATCGATTTGATCACAAAAAATGTCAAACTTTGATTGAAGATGACAAAAAATTAGTACAATTGATGATGATACAAGAGAATGTCCAGAGATTGAGATAGATACAAATGTTCAATGAGGATGAATACAAATATGTCAATTGCATGTATGATAACAACAATTGTACAACTCGGATGGAATGATTACGAATACATAATACAATTTTGATAGATGAATACGAAAATGTCAATTGATGGATGATACAAAAATTATCAAATGGTGATGAATGATACAAAATGTCAATTGATTGATGATACAAAATGTCAATGATTGATGATACAACAATGTCAATTGATTGATACGAATGTCAATTGATGATGATACAAAATTGATGTCAAATTGATGATGATACAAAATGTCAATTGATGATGATACAAAATGATCAATGATTGATGATTACGAAATGTCAATTGATGATGATACAAATGTCAATGATGATGATACAAAAATGTCAATTGATGATGATACA